AAAATCGAGACTCGTCACTAAAGACAATACTGTTCCATTCCTGATCCCAGAGTGACCGTTGTCTGCACCACTCAAGGCCATTACGTCGGTGTTCTCGAGTTAAGGGTAGGACCCAGTGTAGGCGGTATGAAAACAAGCCAAAACTTCTCATTCGTCGGTAAACACTTCGCATGCCAATAGGTCTTCCGTGTTCTGCAAACCATTCATTTGCAATGGACCTGGTAGTGGAGAAACGGTCCCTTAAGGCCAATAATCTTAGGCGGCGATCTTCACGGCTTGTTGTTCTACGGCGGCGTCCAGTGCCCCTTGCTCTTTGCGTACGGCCTTCTCGAAGCCATGCCTGACAACACCTTACCACAGTGTCTACACTTCTTTGCACTCTAACTGCGATTGCCCGAAAAGAAAGTCCAGCTCCCCGAAGTACGGCCCCTATCAAACTCACTAAGTTGACGAAATCGTACAGGTCTCCGTACTCTAGGCATCGCAACCGATCGTAAAGGATGTCAAGAACCAAAATCCGCCAACGTTGATTCTTTACTGCGGCTGAAATATTCATTTTTAGAGCGTTAGTGGATTAAAAAAAGCAGTATAATAACCGGAATGTCCAACTGATAAGGCTGAAAATTTTTTCACTTCTTATTTACAGTTAGATAAATACATTCACCAACTTTTATTAAAATAAAACCATTTAAACTGGGTGTTCGGATTTATATGTCACTTAGTATACATATATGTGATGGCTAAAGATTGCATACGTAAGGTGTATAAGCTAAACACTATGACACTGCATTGCAACATGTCGCTACAATAATAGCAAACAATAGAGCTAAGCTCGATTTACATGTTCCGTGTTTCTAGTCAATCGCTTCTAACATCAATGCTCTCGTTCGTTCGATGCTCCGGCATTTCAGTAGCCTTCCAGCCAAAATTTTGTGCTACTGCTGAAAAACATTCATCTGCCGCAAACGTCACCTGATACTTATAGGTACCAGGGACCAAATTCTTGAGAGGAGGAAATAGGTTTGGTAATACAAAGTGCTTTTCGCCGCTTTTTGACGTATGTCATGAGAAAAGTACTCCCTACCCCTGAACAAATAGCCTAGCTTTTTCCCCGGAAGCTGCCGCTGTTGACTTGCCAGATCAACTCCTCGGTGATCTGGACTCCGACCAGCCGAAATGAACGGCTCTTTGGCAGTACTCGGCAGTACTGGAAGCATTAAACCGTACAAAATTGTTGCGTCCCCAAGCAGTGATAACCTCTTGGTCTCTCGTCAGAGAGGAAGTCGTCGCTAGTCTTCTTTTTTCCAGCTCAGCTTCAGAGATCTGTTTGTCGCTCTAAATTCCTGCATGTAGGCTGCTGACAGCAGCAAAGCTGTGGATTTGGTTGATCATAGAGCAAAGGAAGTCGTTGATATGTAAGAGGAACAGTGTCGGAGCCAAGACTGATACCTGGGGAGCACCCGCGTTGACGTTGTGGGATGGACAGTGCCGGATTATCCACGAGGCAAGAGAAGCAAATGCTACGGGCCTCGCGAATTTGGGGCCCCGTGCTCCAGCGCCTGTCTGACCGTAATAAAAAAATATTAATTTGGCTATGCTTCACTTCCACTTGAAAATCTAAAACTCGATTTCGGCACGTTAGATCGTAAAAATAAGTAGGAATTAAACGAACTTTTTAACGTTAATGTTCTAATGTTTAATTATGATCGACATATTTAGGGCCAATTTCACCAACCACAGTCGGTTATTCTCCACCTATAGGGCTGTTACCCGTCAATTACAGCGAATGAGCTTCAAGTTCCAATCAACAAATTTTAGCAACCAATAGCTATGAAATGTTGAAAACAAAATACTGTCGAAGTATGAGATGACATCTTGTCATTGAAACATCATCAGCTTATTGAATATTAAGAAATCACATATAATTCAGTCAAAATTTAAACAAATGTTTGATTTTTGAATAAAATTCATGATTTAATTAATATTGTTGATTTTTATTCATGTTTATATTATTTTCTTCAATTGATATGCGATTTTACTGATTCAAGATCATCTACTGAGTGTTTTTTTCTATAAAACTCTTGCGGATAGCCATTAAGCACCTACTTGATGACTGGCTCTACCAAAAAGTTCATAGATATTGCTCGTTTCCAAACATTCATTCATTTACTTGCCGTTCATCAGAACCATTATGGCACCTTAGATTGATATTCTCACAGAACCATTCTGGTTTTTTAATATCCATACATCCATAAAGTTGAATATTTTTCGTTGTTCAGGAACTTAACAAACATCCACACTATATTCACAGCGATTAAGAAATACCCAAATATATGTCGTAGAGCTACCAGCAAACCTAAAACCTGCAGAAAAACTAGAAATTTGCAATATTTTTCTTTTTTCACTGAGTACATATTCTGGGTTATATTTATATTAGACGTTATTTGAATCACAAAACATATACATTGATTTGAATAACAGCTGATTATCTCCTGATATTTTGAAACTAACCATGTTGACAAGTGACACATAATTCTCTGGGATCCGTCAACACTTCGTCCCAGTGGAGCAAACTCTGCCAACTGTCGAAATAAACTTTATTAATTCCAAGTCTTACTTTTGTTTTACTGTGCCTGCTTAGATATTCAAATACGGCCAGGAATTATTAGCGCCTGGCTATTTTAGGCCTTCAACAACTCCTTATTTTAGATCTCTCCTTATTTTGTTTTTGCCACGCATTCATGTTAGAAAGAAAAATATTTTATCGAATATCGATACCGTATACCGTGCAGCAGGCACGCCATCACTACTTTGACAGATTGCAGAATGATGTCAAGGTGATAATCGTTATGTAGTAGTTGTTTCTGTTTTTGTCTAAAATAGGTAAGTAGGCTTTGTGTATTCATTTTTATTTTTATAGCGTTTCCAGAATTTCATATTTCGAAACGATGTCAAGGGCCGGCAGGGGAAAATCTTTCTCTGAGAACTGAAAATCATTAAACGCGCTGTATTCAGTCCATTTTATTCTATCCCTTGGGGAAGTACAGAATGAAGAAAGGACTACAGTGCTCAGTGGCCACTCAGTAGCTCAGTGCTCGTCTGTAATGATAATACTCAAATACTACTAAACACCTAAATAGCTTTCTGGCCTTTCAATTTCGAAGCTACCAGTCCTCGCTTAGAGATGGTAGCACAGTTAAGGATATACTCGCGGTATACGGTTACGGATGTTTGTGATTCCTCTCGATATCGATATATCGTCATGAAACCATCGATGCGTAAAGATCGATGTTCTACGTCCGATGTATCGATGTTTTCGATACATCAATGTATCGTCTATCGTCGCCATCCCTATATTGTATCCCCACCAGTCACCAGTCAAAAACCTTAATCACCAATATTTTATCACTATCTATAATTCTTTTTAGCTCTTATTTTTCAGTAATTACTAATAATTTTAGGTCTATGTCTACAGTAATTGCATTATGCACCTCGGAGATGTAGGGATTAACATGTTTTACACATATCGGTGTTTTAGGATGGGGACGACCATACTGTTTTGATTGCTTTGAAGAGATTCATTAACCCATGAATTTATAACAAATGATTACTATTATGATGTAAAGAGAGATGAGGAATCCGCACAATTCAATAGGTATGTGCAGCTATAATGATCACATATACACACAGTATATTGAACTTAACAAATTAAGAGATTTCCATGAATTAACAAACGACCAAACCTGCTGCCAAATTTAACAGCTAGAAAATCGACCTATTATTTCTCCCATTCCCATTCGCTGAGGGGATAACGGATGGTTAAATGTACACCTATAACGTAAATCAAAATACATGAAAGTTGTCCTGTTTTCTCTGTGCAAAAGCATCATGTTGGAATCAATGAGTGGTCTTGTTTATAATACAGTCGAATTTTCACGATTTTATTCAACATTTTTATAGAAATCACTGATATTCTGAGACCTTTGACAGCTTCCGTCAAATTGCATTTCGATAAAGTATTTTCCTATTGGTCCATAATATTAATGTTGGTGAAATCGGCCCTTAGACTAGCATCTATACCACATTTCTACCCTTCAAGCAGCCAGATTCTTATTTTTTTGAATAGGTATACATTTATGTTGTGACTTTACGTAGCCGAGATTGTACTTTTTTAATCGATTTTAATATAATATCGATTATAAGTATTTCGGAAAAACAGGCGAACTATTTAAATTTTATTAATTCAGTCACGATCCAATATACTGTGGTTGGTTGATTTATTATAAAATATAGAGTCATTTTATGAGTGAATATAGCTGACATTTTTTTATTCGATTGTCATATCGATCATGTTTCGAGATTATGGAAAGCTAGTGACGGTAAAAAGGCGGGTTATTTAAAAATGAACTATTCAAATTATAAACAAAAAGTATTCATCAAAAACAAACTTGTGAGGAATTTGTTCATCTAATTGCATCAAGCATACTGGATCAAATTATTTTCGAAATTAAGAGATGCAAATACTACTCAGTTTCATTGGATTCTACTCCAGATATATCGCATGTAGGCCAAGTGACTCTGATAGTGCCCAATGTTCTGCCATCTGGACCAGTGGAAAGATTTGCTAAGTTCTTGGACATGGCAGGTCATACTGCTGAACAACTTACTCACTGTCTTGCACATTCATTAAATTTGGTTACTAAGTGCCCTGCAGACTGCTGTACAGAAGCATTATATTTCTTCGACTTCATTGAAAACCTCTATACATTTTTTTCGCTTCTACCTATCGATGGAGTCGCCTTACGAACGCACTTAAAGATTCTACTTCAAAAATTCCCATTTTGAAACGGTTATCGGACACTAGGTGGTCAGCCCGAGCTGATGCTACGAAGGCACTTTCATGTGGTTTTATCACTATTAAGCAAGTTCTGGAAGACATTTTCAATAACGTGGATCAAAAAGTGGAGTGTCGTTATAAAGCTTACGGACTAATTTCAACGATGAATAAGTTAGAAACGGGAATTACATGGAACGGAATCCTAGAACGCTTGCAAGCCACTAGTGCTTCGTTGCAGTCGTCTGATCAAGACCTCAATACGGGATACGCGCTTTATGAATCATTATATGGCTTTGTCCAAGCAATGCGATCCACATTTTCAGATTTTGAGGCAAGAGCCAAAGTTCTGACTAACTGTGAAGAATACCAGCAACAGACATCAAGACGAATCCACCGAAATACAAGGTACGGCCACTTCAGCGGCTTTACTACACTCGACGACTTTGTTGAAAACCAAACGCCTGGACAACGTTTCGAAGTTCAGATGTTTATTGTCATTAATGATAACGTACTGTCTGCTTTAACTAAACGTATGAAAGCATATCATAAGATTACTAGTGCTTTTGAAGTTTTTCGGCAGCTAAAATCTCCAGAAGAGATTTTGGAAACATTCTCAAGAATGGTCAGTGCTTAGGAAGGTGATTTGGAGAACAGCCTAGGTGGCGAATTAGTGCGGTTCGCAGAGCTGCTGCAAACAGATCTCGCTACTGTTATTGACAGCAAGGAACGGGAGCCTCTTGAACAGCTATTTTATAAAGTTTTATTAAATAATTCTTTAGAATCGTGTTTCCCAAACTTAGAAATAGCCTTGCGTATTTACTTGTCTCTCATGATCACTAACTGCAGTGGCGAAACGTATTAGAAACGAATTATGGAGCACGATGGGCCAAGAACGTCTTAATCATCTCACTTTGTTGAATATAGAGCATGATTTGCTTAAAGAAGCCAATATTGAAAGTGTTATCTCTAAATTTGCCCATATTAAATGCAGAAAAGTTTATTTGTAACAATTTTGTTTTATTTAATACCCTAAACTTGAGAACCTAAAGCAAACCAAGGGCTCCTTGACAGAATTTGCTACAGTCCCCGCGCTGGGTTAATCCGGCACTGGGGACGGAGAACCCATCTATTACGATGGATATCTTGCGGCTAGAGACAAAGTCGGCCACAGCTGATCGAACGCTTTCGTGATATCGTAAGACTGGATGGTTCTCCTCCACAATTGCGTGACGTAAGCTAGGAGGTCCGCTTTGGGTCGCTGGTCCCGAAACCATACTGCCTGTCGCTAATCAAGCCGTAACGTTTGAGGTAGTCCAGAAGCTCGCTATTTATGCACCTCTCCACCACCTTACTTATAACAGAAAGCAGAGTTATATGCCTGTAGTTGTAAGGGCTGATCCTAGATCCTTTTTTGAGATGGGTTGGACATGAGCAAATTTCCAGTTTTCTGGGAAAGTGCCGGATTCATAAGATATCTGGGAAAGACGCGAAAGAACTGGAGCAAGCTCCGTTGCACACCTCTTCAGTACCATGGCAGAGATCAAGTTGGTATCAGAAGCTTTGTTTGTTGATCTCAAGCGTCTTACGCTCTTATGCCTAAATGTTACTTTCCGCATGAAATGACGGCACTTGGGCGTTGGGGGGGGGGACGTACATGGTGGAGTTGAGCAAAGATCTTGGCAAGCACTTCCGTCTTAGCCTTTCACTCGGTTACAATCGTTCCATCCTGACACGTAAATCGTGGAAGGCTACTCTGTGAAACGTTCGTTTCAATCTGCTTGTCTCACGTCCAGAAAGACCGACTGACATTACGCTGTGCCTAACTTTTATATCATGCTGGTCTTTGGCATTGCGAACCGCTCCGTTATATTTGTTTCTCGACTCGACGTCGACTTGGTGGTCTGCGCTACCTAAAAGGGACACATCAGTGCTGTGAGGGAAAGCTTCGTGGTAAGAAAGAGATACAGCAGGCTGCTGGCATGTGACGAGACACGGGAGAAATAAGTAGTGCTCGTCACTAGCCAGGTTAGCCCTTTAGTAAGAGTGAATGTTTCAACGGCACGACCTGCTGCATCGGTCTTGTTTAAGCTAGCCAAAGCTCATTGTGAGCATTGAAATCACCGAATAGAACTACCTCTGAAGCGGCAGTCCATCTTGACAGCGCGATACTCACGTAGACCATCCCAGTGATGATTCGAGAGAAAGGCATAAAGGCAGCAAATAGATTTGAGGGATGCTTTGGAGTTGAGGCGAAACCACAGAATGTTCTTTCGGTCTCACTCCAAAGAAACGTCTCTGGAGCAGGAAATACTGCTGCCACAACCCGCCGTTCTTTCTCAGATTGGACTGCAGTTCGTTATTTGGAAAGCTAAGATGGTTAGTCCGTACAGAGTTTTTTGTCTCTGCTAAGAAAAGCATGGCGCGCGACTGGATTGCAAGCAGTGATGAACAGCATCAATATTGATTTTAGTCTCGCAGATGCTCGTGAAAAAAATGTTATCTTCGATATTGTTCCCTCGAGTGAGTTGACGTTTGGAATTCTTAGTGCTCGAAGGATCCATCAACATTAATTTCTTTGTTTCGGAAAATAACCGAATGAATAGCTTAGGTGTGGAAACATGCAGACATTTATAAGACACTATGGGAAAAGCTAGCGGGTGGTACCGCCTCGTTCGACTGGTCCTAATATGCCACCTTCTTTTTGGGTGTTAGTAATGTTAAATAGCTCTAAAGTGGCACATTGGCGGACTTGTACCGCCACCCAGCAATCGATACTGTGGTATTCCTCAACGCGTGTATAACCACTTTAACGGGAAGAAGTTGTGAGGGTCAATCAAGGACATATCTTAATGTAGAATTTTTGGATTCTTAGATTGCCGGTGTCAAAAATTGGGTTTCATATTTAAAATTTTGAAGTCGACCTCCAAATGATCTTCAAGGTCAAGATCAAATACATGGTCGCATTCTGATAACGGAGGAAAAATCACACAACTTTTATTTGAAGCATTTCCCCTGAAATGCATTCCGGAAGAGCTATCGATATCCAGCATTAGTGGTAGTTTGACCTTGAGGGATCTCGCAGGGTCGAATATAAGGATTATTCAAGGTCGTATTTTCCGCTCATTCCACTACCGGAATCAAAAGTAGAGGTTTACATTTGAAATTTTGAAGTTGACCTTCAAATAACCAGTCAAGGTCAAAATCAATATCGAATTCAAGGCCACCGACCGATAATCACTGATCAACAGCCAAAAAATATCCTAAATAAAATCAACAAAATATTACTATTTTTAATGTGCTAAAACCGGAATGAAACTTATTTTTTCAATATTAGTTCAAGTTTTACAGATACGGTAATTATATGTGTTCCTGCTGTGACAGTGTTAATATACTTTAATTCACAAGAACGCACGTGCTACATTTTTATATTCGGCAAGGAAAGATGATGTAATCGGCATGATTGTGTTACGTTATACATACGTGTACATTATATTGTTTTATATTAGCCATTTTTTCCTCAGTTGGCTGACAGCGTTCATGCAAGATGTCTCGAAAGTGTGTAAACAATCCAGATCAGTTTTGTTACGTGTGTGGTGATGTGACTTCTGCGTCTCAGAGACGGTCTATTACTCCACTAATAACAAAGGCATATCAGCTTTATTTCGGTTGTAAACTAGGTGATCAAGACAAACAGTGAGCACCCCACATCTGCTGTAATACATGTGCTTCAAGTCTGAGGAGCTGGTTAAATGGCAAAAAACGGTCTATGCGCTTTGCTGTCCCAATGGTTTGGAGAGAGCCTACAAATCATATTAATGATTGTTACTTTTGCATGGTACCTTGTGTTGGACAAGCCACAGGTATGTCCAAGAAAAAAAAATCGGTTACTAACTACCCAAACATACCATCTGCGATGAGACCCGTGCCTCACAGTGACGAAAATCCTATTCCAAAACCCCCAGAATCCTACACTTGCGAATCAGAAAACGAATCAGATCATGGCGATCGAGTGATTCGTCAGGAAGAAGGTATGCCATCAACGTCAAGAGGTCCTGATTTTATACCGAGCACGTCATGCCACCAACCGCACAAAATAACACAGTCAAAATTAAATGATCTTGTAAGAGATTTAGAACTTCCAAAATGTAAGGCAGAGTTACTTGGATCAAGACTGCAGCAGTGGAACTTGTTAGAAGATGATGTTTCGGTATGTGTTTTTCGTAAACGCCACAAAGACTTAGAACCATTTTTCAATATGGAGAATAACTTGGTTTTCTGCAGTAACATTAATAGCTTACTGGCGGCTTTAAATATAAACTATAACCCAGAAGAATGGAGATTGTTTATAGACAGTTCAACATTGAGTTTAAAGGCAGTGTTATTGCATATTGGAAATACTTTACCATCTCTTCCTGTAGGGTATGCAGTTCACATGAAAGAATCATATGACAATATGAAGTACCTATTGACATGCATAAAATACGATGAGCACCAATGGCATATTTGTGGCGGTTCGAAAGTTGTTGCACTTTTACTTGGCTGCAGCTAGGCTACACAAAGTTTTGCTGTTTTTTGTGTGAATGGGACAGTCGGGCAAAGGCACTTCATTACACCAGACAAAACTGGCCTGTTCGTCAATTCCTAGAGCCAGGTCAAAAAAATGTACAGCATATGCCATTAGTAGATTCAAAAAAAAATGTATTACCACCACTGCATATCAAGTTGGGCCTAATGAAAAACTTTGTCAAGGCATTAGATAGAGATGGGTCAGCTTTTTAATACCTGCGTCAGAAATTTACAAGACTAAGTGAGGCAAAGGTTAAAGAAGGTATTTTTGTTGGGCCACAGATTCGAAATATTTTGAAAGATACACAGTTTGAAAACACTTTAACAGGTATTGAAAAAACTGCTTGGAATGATTTCCGTCTGGTGGTCACTAATTTCTTGGGAAATAGAAAAGCTGACAACTATAAAACCCTTGTCAAGAATATGCTGTCATCGTATCAAAAGATGGGCTGTAATATGTCTCTTAAGATACATTTCCTACACTCACACCTGGACTTTTTTCCTGACAATTGCGGAGCCGTAAGTGATGAGCACGGCGAACGTTTTCATCAGGATATTTCAACAATGGAAAAAAGGTACCAGGGAAAGTGGAATCCTTCCATGCTTGCAGACTACTGTTGGACTCTTGGTAGAGATGCTCCAGAAACTATCCATAAAAGAACAGCAAAAAGACAGCGCATATAGTGATTTTTATAAGTATATGAATCTTGTTACTTTTTTTAATATATCCTTAAAAATAAAAAGTTTTTTTTTTCTAAACCGCAACTAATTTTTTTATTTCATTGTCATTTTTGGATTCAGCGCCCCAAAATTAACAAAGAAGTGCACTTTTCCCACAAGACACAATTAAAAAACTAAAATTTGTTGTCCAGGGATAATTGAGAGAAAATCCTACAACTTTCAATTGAAGCATTTTTCACTAAAATGTATTCCCAATGAGTTATTGTGACAGGTGGAGTACCGCCATGTTCAAAAGATATCCTTTGTCATTTCAGTTGCACACCCTACAGCAGTGTTGTGATAAATTTGAAATGAGGCTATAGCCCCGTTTTGTATATATCTTGTTAGGGTTCTCTCCTCAAAGGGATCCATTCTATTAAAAACCTTTTTACACATAGGCCAAAAAGCACTTAACGTCAAAACAGTTTGACATATGAACTTGATGTATTGTAAACGTAGCTTACTGATTTCACCTGTTATACTGTCAGCATTTGCCAAAAGGACAGGGACGTATATTTGGAAAGCTCCACTACTTGGCAGTCAAATAAAAATATGTAACTGAATCTAAGAATAATTGATTTTAGCTACTTAAATCAATGATTCTCACAAGCTATCAGCTGAAGTATTCTTGTTTGGATAAGTGATTAGTATTCTAGCTACTTGTTGAGGTCTCATACAATATGCAATACTTACAGTAAAAAATAATAAGCTCAAGACTAACAGTACCCACTTCATTTTCGCGGAAACTAATAACAAATGAAATGTTTTCCATTACTTTTGATATTACATTCATCTTTTCTAATTAATCGTAAATTATTGATAATGTTGTTATTAAGAGAATTTCTTAGAAAACAGTAGCCGCAATAAGGTGATCGTTATCGGGTCAAGCTCGATATCATGAAAACGCTGATAATACAAAGATAAATAAATAATGTGGTTTAGATTTAAATGTTATAGGTATGACCAATAGCAACGCTTTCGATGAAGTTGAATGGCTCCAAAAATATTTGACTAAGAACTGTAGCGATATATTACAGGAAAAGTTGGCATTAGAAAATAAAAAATATGTTTGCAATGTAATGTGGGATCAATTTGACTAAAATGCTTGAAAAATGATAGTACTGTAGGCTTTACCAGAAGTAAATATTTATTTGCATATTTTAAATGATGTATGGTATATAATAATAATAATAATAATAATAAAGGGTCTTTATTGCACTAAACATTTAGTACATTACGAGGGGCGAGGTTTAGCGTGAGCTATTCTTCCACCTAACTCCGTTTTGATAATTTATACGAAATTACATAGAAATGGATGAAATTAACTACAGGTATGGTACATACATTTAAATCGGTTTGTTTTAAACCAACAAAACTGTGATCAAAGGGATTTTTTTTAAAATCAACCATCATTAACCAATAAAAAAAATATAAGTGGCAATTCATGTTTGCGAGAGAAGATCGGACTTCAATTTTAATTTAAAAGTTTTAATATTCGCAATATTTTTAAAATGAGAATTAATACTGTTGTAATATTTAACGGCATTGTAAATAAAGGTTCTTGAATATAAAGCAGTACGGTGGACTGGCAGTATAAAGAAAGCCTGATGCCTTGTGTTAATATTATGCGTGCTGGATCTGGTAATAAATTTTCAAACAGGTATGGGAGTGATGCGGATAGTAAAATACGATGCACAGAACTTATAACAGAATATTTGTATAGATTATCTATAGTTAACCAATTGAGGTCAGAATACGTATGCGATATATGATCAAATTTCCTCAAATTATTTATGTACCTACTACAAGTATTGTGCATTATCTGTAGAAGTCTTTTATTCGCAGTAGTAAGGAAGGGGTAATAAATTATTAGCCCATACGAAATCTTAGACAATACCAAGCTTTCACATAGCTGTTTTTTCAATTGTTTACCAGTGATGCAATTGTTTGCAAATAGAAGCCGGAGCGAACCGTAATATTGCCTCAAAACGTGCTGTAAGTGTTTTTCAAACCTCAGGTCTTCATCTAAATGTAAGCCCAAATTTTTGGCACATTCTGAATAAGGGATAATTTTTCCTTCGATTTGAATGTCAATTCTGCTTATAAGATTTGCTTTTATTTTGATATTACCAAATAGCAAGGCTTTATTTACACTTCGATGGGTTGAGCTTGAGGTTATGTAACTTGCAATAGCGGCTAATACTTGACAAATCTTCATTGATTTGGTCTCGAGCTACAGAGTAGCGTGAGGCTGGAAAATCATACTTTACCTGAGTGTCATCGGCAAAGAATTGCACATGGCAGTGCTTGACAGTATCTTGAAGATCCGCGGTGTATAACAAAAAAGGCAACGGAGCTAATACGGAGCCTTGAGGTGCTCCGGACTGAACTTTATTTGGCAAGGACATCTGACCATCAACCACAGCCACTTGCGACCGATCACTTAAATATGACTTGATGAGCTTACAAGCAAGATCATCAAAGCCATAGTAATGACATTTGGCTACAAGCACTTTGTGATTCAATGTATCAAATGCCTTCGAGAAATCTAAAACGACAAGAGCACACAAGTTTTTATTGTCAAGCGCGGAAATTATACCATCGATCAAGTCCACTAAAGCCGTAGTAGTGCTATGATTTTTTTTAAAACCCGATTGATGAACACTTATAATATTATTTTTGTCTAAGTACTCGTAAATCTGGATATAAGCTGCGCGTTCCAGTATTTTGGATAGAAGAGGCAAAAGACTTAAAGGTCGTAGGTCGTCAAATGACAAAGGATTCGAGGTTTTAGCGAGTGGTTTTACCATTGCTGTTTTCCACGCGCTTAGAAAATAGCCTCTCTCTAAGCATAGATTGATAATATGCAACAAATAAAGATTTATAGCGGGATAGCATAATTTTAACATTCGCAACGTAACTCCGTCATTCCCAGATGCATTGGAACCAATATGACTGATTATAGATGCTAAGCTTGTCAAGTCAATTAAATTGAAAGAAAACCTCTCAAAACTATGTCTGTTGTTACGATAATGAATTATTTTTTCAATATATTGTTCATCACTATTCTTAAAAATTGAGGAAAAGTAATCATTCACTTTATATGGATTGGAAAGGTGAACCGGAATGTTCGGAGGCTCTTTATTACTTTGTATGTGCATTTGTTTCAATAGCTATTTTCAACAATAAAATGATAAACAAGGCAGGGCGTAGTGGATAAAAGCATTTACTGATTAAGTAAATTCTTTTAGTGAAATTTCTTCTGAAAGTAGTACAAACTAATCTGGTGTACCTATTAAAGTCTACTTTAAGCTTTAAATCAATGAAATCTTCAAAACTACTGAACTGAAGCTCATGTCATCATTATAAAGGGAATTGAAAGGCCTTTAAAATAAGGTATCACTCGACCCCCCGTTCCATTTAAGATTTTAGAGTTGGTGTCACCCCCGCCCAGGGGGCTGCACGTGTTAACGTGATTTTTTGCCAAACTGAAAACAAAATCGACGGGTCTGAGCATTTTTTCAAAAAAAAAAACTGAGCTGAAAATAAATGCATCTGTTTCGCTTACGATGCGCTCTCATTTAAAGTTGTCTAAACCTTAATTGTCCAATAATTGTCTGGTTTACCCTATCTACCTTATATTTTCAAAGAACAATTATTCAAAAGATGTAATGGGTGTTCTAAAAAGTCAGTGGTGCGGAAAATATTTTCTTTCTTTTTTCTGTACCAAATATCTCATTTTCAATGCTACTGCTATAATTTGAGCCAAGAGAACTTTTGTTTATATTGATAATGCTGTAACTTTCTGCCCCGGAAGTATTGCCAAGGCTTTTGTAATCACTCTGTATATATTTAGTACAGAATATTTCTTTCCTCGCACCTCTATTGAGAAATACCTCCTGGTAACCATCAATAAAGTCTAGACATGTAAATGCACGCAATCGCTCCATTTATAAGAAAATATAAGCGAAGGCGTCTAAGCTCTCATTTTGTTTTAAGAAATAATGCAAATATTTGGTTGTTTCCCAGAAATGGTTGTAAAGATAAGCAAGCAAATAACATTATTTGAAAACAGATAAGTAGGCACTAGCCTCCGCAACTTTGACAGTGACTCGTCAACATTGAAAATCAGAAATGAACATACTTTTTATTTGTGCGAGCATGTATGTCATCTTGTATGATATATAGCATGACATAAATACCCGTCGAGGCTTTGCACGGTGGGAGGAATACAAGAGACTTAATGTTGAATGACTCTGCCGAATATATCCAGATGGTTTTGAACTTTAGCCTCGGTTTCGTTGATCGATGGCATCGGCCACCATAAAAATGCTACTTTAAGCTGACCGAGTTACATTGGTTGGAAGTTTTTTTTTTTGAAATACCGTTCACCACGAATGGTGAGTGTGCTGAACTATAATTCATTTGGTCTGAGCACATCAACTCTCTGTTATGTGACTCTGTGTACTACACAGTCGAGCAAATTTGTAAGCGTTGAGGGCTACAACTCGCACTGCGAACAAACGAGGCAGGCAGAGATCGGCAGTTTAGTTCATCCTGAAAACTGAGACCATCGATTTAGGCCATATAACGTATGTCCTAAAGAACATTTATCGATTTTTTTTCAAAGAAGAGATTCATTCAAATTCTAGCTAGTTATCATAAATTACAACTTAATACTTAACTAAACAATACTGTCGAATCATGTGGAATGGCCCATTCCCACAAAAGGTTGGGATACACCCCTGTTAGAAATTATGCACCAGACAAGGATTTTATTTGTAAATTTCGCTTTATGTTTGTGTCTAACATTGTCAGAGCATTCTTCTACGTTATCCGTATAAAATCCGTCGTTTCCCTTCATTTCAGAATTACTCAAAGTGAAATGCAATACAATACAATTCAATATATTACAATGTGATGGTGATATATACAGTGGAATTTTACATGGTGTCCGCAAAGTTGGGGTTGTCCTTTTCAGAAACAACTACCCTTGAAATAACAAAGGTAATGTGTAGTGAAACGAGGGCGACCAAGTAAAAAAAAAATAAAGGAAAATGTACTCACTCTCCAGTTGACGAGAAGGGCTAAGTACGTCTCTGCCCGAAATCATACCGCTCCAACAGAAAATGAAATCAGCTGATGTGCTACCGAGCAGACGCAGGCGGTGTTGCAGACCACGAACAGAGGTAACAAATATGTCGGCGTTGCCGCGTTTTCAGTTTTTAGGTAAACGTACTTTATAGGTATTTTTCGAAGTTATCGCCGTTTGATTCAAAAACACAGGTGCGTGCACGACGTAGCCAAGCATCGGTGCAGGTTTTGAGAATGGAGTCCCTCCCCCGAATGAAAGCACCAGCTTGTTCAGTTCTGAGACGAAGTTCGTCAACCGTATGCACTGCAATTTTGTACACTAAGCGTTTAATTTCGCCCCAAAGAAAAAAATCACATGGTGTTAAGTCTGGAGATCGCGGAGGCCACGCTACGGGTCCATTACGTCCGATACACCTATTCGGAAATAATTTATTCAAAAACTCACGCACTTCGCGTCTAAAATGGGGCGGTGCACCATCGTGCAGAAACCACATTGATTGTCTTACACTTAATGGCACACCTTCTAACAAGGAAGGCAAAATGTTGCGTAAAAAGTCTAGGTATTGCATCCCGTCCAATCGATTTGGGAGAATAAATGGTCCAATGAGCATACCGTTCACCATGCCAGCCCAAACATTCACCGAAAATGTTTGTTGAAAGTGTGCCCG